AATACTGGCATGCTTTAATTTAATGGAAGGAGTTTTCTAATATTGAGATCTACATTTAGCTCTACAATCCCATTATTATCCTGAGCGGTCCAGCCAGTTTTTCCCCCAACGCCATCACTCTGCTAAACAAATAATTCCCTCACCACTGTCAAACTAAGGCTGTATTACTATTACTATTAGTCTTCTCATTGTTTCTATCACCCATCTCCTCCCACTTATGACTGCAGGACTGTAACTTTGCTGCTTGTATACTTACCAACTTATATTGATATTGTTTGCTGATTGCTTATTTGTAACCTATAACTAAGTCTTGTACCTTATGATTCTTGACGAATGTATCTTGTCTTTTTAGGTACCCTGAGCGCTTAGGCACCAAAGACAAATTCTTTGTGCGTCCAATCACACTTGGCCAATAAAGAATTCTATTTTCCTAACAGTTGAGGCTGAGCACCTGTACCATGCCAGACCGTGCTGGCCTCTAATCCCCATCATCCTTGACCTTCACTGCCTGAGGCGAAATGATCGTGAATACACAGCAACAACTGGGGAGGCCAGGTTTTCCCATCCCTTTGCGCTGCTCTCGAAGTGCTGAGCAGGATCAGTAGCAGCCGCGCCGTTACGTTGCCTAGAATCGTGTCGGACCCATTCAGACGCGCTTGTGGGGTCGCGGAAGCCTTCCAGGGCTCCAGTTCAACGCGTGAACTCACTGGCGGCTAACTCCTGGCCTGCCTCCAGAAAATTTCCCCCCAGCTTCGCCCTGCGCCTTTGCAAAGCCAAGGCCTCCCCGGGAGCCGGCGGAGCTGTTCGCGCCCCGACGCTCCTCTTTTAAATTTGGCGACAGGCGAGGCGCACCTTCCCGCGGCGAGCACGTGACGGCCGCGGAGGCGCGGGGAGGCGGGCCAAGCGACCCGGGGAGGGAGGCTGGCAGGCAGGCAGCAGCAGCATCGGCGGCGGCATCAGGGCCGAAGGAGAGAAGAAAGGGAGGCAGAGAAGGAGGGCAGCGGACGGAGGCGTCGCCTTTAAATGCTCTCAGCCGGGCGGCGGCGCAAAGGCAGCGCGCGTGGAGCCTCTGGGCGTGGGGGGGAAAAGAAGGGCAAGGAAAGCGCTCCGATGCGTCCTGGACCATGAGCAGCCCAGCCGGCTCCGTCGCCCCGCGGGATTCCCTCGCCGCCTCGCCGTCTCTCTGAAGCCCCTCTCCGGCTGATGCTTCCGCCCCTCTCCCTCCGCCAGCATGTCCCGGCGAAAGATCTCCTCGGAATCCTTCAGCTCGCTCGGCTCGGACTACCTGGAGACCAGCCCGGAGGAAGAAGGCGAGTGCCCCATGGCCAGGCTCCTCTGGAACGGCAGCCGGAGCCCCGCTGCCCAATCCGGGGCTACCACTCCGGTCGCTACCGTTCCCCCGCCGCCGCCGCCAGAGGCTTTGGCGGCGGCGGCGGCGGCGGGTCTCCCTGGCCCGGTCCCGGCGGGCTCCCGGAGGGCTCCTCGCAGAAGGCGGGTCAACCTCGACTCCCTGGGCGAGAGCATCAGCCGCCTCGCCGCCCCCACGGTAAACGCGCCTTTCTTTTTTTTTTCGGGGAGGGGGGGAAGGCGCCGGTTTAGTGCGGGCAAGCCAGGTGGGCAGACAGGCAGGCAGGCGAGCCGAGTTGGCGGGATGCGTACGCGCCCATCTGGAAGAGGAGGCTGACCAAGAGGAAAGGCAGGACGGACCTTCCACCTGGCGGTCTTCTTTCTGGACGCGCGGGGTTCAGAAGAAGCCTCTTTGGCGCCGTTGGGATCCTCTAAACTGGGCTGCCCGCGGAAGAGGCGCGCTCGACCCGCCGTAGACACCCCGGGGCATCCCGCCCTCCTGTCTTCACCCACTCTTTCCCACGATGCGGGCTTTCAAAGCGCGGCCACAGGTTGCCCCCTGGCGCAGGTGTCCCCTTTAACCCCCCTGCTCCCTTCGCCCCCCACCCCTGCGCCGCTGCTGAGCCTCCCAAAATGATTATACCAGAGGAAGTCCCTTCAAGTCGTTTTTATTTATTTTAAATAAATACATAAATAAAATAAAAAGGACTTGAAGGGACTTCCTCTGGTTCCAGATGTTTGGGCATTGTTCTTTCTGCAGATTCCCACCGAAGTGGTCGGAAACGTCAGGAAATCCCCAGAACCCCTTCGAAGTGGCTCCGTTCAGAATTTAGGGTTATTTCGGAGGATTCCCTTCTCATTTCAGCCTCTGGTTTTCTTTATGGAATTTTCCAAAGGCTTCCCTCCCCTCCTTATAACCTCATCTTCTCTTGTTGCATTTTCTTTGTTTCCCTCCAAAACTGCACACTGATTTCCTTATGTGGGGTGGTGGTGGTGGTGGTGGAGGGAAATAAATCTCACCTTTAATTGACATCTTTTAATGGGCAGCATTAAATCCCTCCAGAACAGGGGTCACCAACCTTTCAGACCCCAGGGACCACTAAATTCATAATTTTAAATCCTGCACACCATTAATATGATTTAAAAAAAGATAAATTGTATTTAGTGCAATATAAAAATGCAAATAATTTTTCGGCGGACCACCAAAATTTTCTCACGGACCACCGATGGTCCATGGACCACCAGTTGGTGACCATTGCTCCAGAAGACAGCAAAGGCAAGGAGTGCAATGCTGTTTCTGTACTTATTCCAAAATATTTGATTCTTCTACTCCTCCCCTAACCATCTTAGTGGTGTTATTCTCTTGAGAAAACTTCCACGTAAGCCCTACAGGGAAAAAAAAGAAACAGAATGAAAAAAAAAAGCCTGTAAGTTGAGACAGAGTTTTTACTGAATACTTGTGGCATGGGAGTATTACTGTTTCATAGCCTCCCCCCACCCCTCCCAAGCTTCTATTCTGCACAGAAGCTTTCCAGAGAAATCTAGATAATGAAAAGCAGAATGCCAATTGAGATAGGCCTTTGGTCCCGTCTACGCAGCCTTTTTCTTGGTCCTCCTTTGCTATTTTGTAAGACTCCTGATGGCCTGAGAATGGTAGTCCAACATTCCATTCCCCGATTCTGCTGTGACACATATAATCTGACTCAGACAGTTTTGTTTATTGTCTTACCATGCTGTAGTGTTCTTATGAGAACACGGAGAGAACATGGCTTAGATGTTTACTTCCCATGAATCATCTTCCAATGGAACACAGTCCTTCTTTTCCTCTTTCCAAAGTTTATTTTCACTTCTTGGATCACAAGGCTTGTTGCTTCCCATACTTCTTATCAAAGATAACAAGAATTTTCTCTACCCAACTTCAGCCTTTATCCCCTAATTGCTGGTTTTTGCTCATTTCCCCCTTTCTCTCCAATCTTGGCTGCTAATCCTTTCATTTATTGGTACATCCCATTCCAACCGAGATCTTGGAAGTACTCTAATTCAGCTTGATCCTTTCCAGCTGTGGAGTGTTGCACGGACTTCTATTCCTTACTGGAATTATGTTTTTTCCCATCATTAAAAAAATAATCTAAAGATGGAAAAGTAATTTGTTTCCCTTTATCTCTTGGCTATTCCATATGGTTTCTTCCAAGCTGCTTTGAATTCTGAACTTGTTTGTTTCTCCTAGGGAAAGAAATGGCCAAGTACAGCTTGGTTACATCCTGCTTTGCTTTATGTAATGCCATCAGTTTTGTCTGTATTCTCTAGAGATGTTCATTTGTCTTATAAGAAAGCCCCTGCATGAGAAGCTGCTCTTTGCTTTTTAATTGCCATAGATTAAACTTGTTCATTGCAGTAAATAAGAAAATGGTGGTACTTCTATGGCTGCAAGACCATGTTACAAAAAGCCAGTAGGATGACTTTTAGAAGATGCTGCTAGGAATCTCATCAAGATAACAAAGATCCATAGGAAAGGTTCTAGTTCCTAAGCAAGGCATTATCCAGAAGGCAGAAAAGAAAGGATCTATGAAATTATCACGGGAGGAGAGAAGGAAGGTCCTGATCTTAGATACCTAAAACATGGAACTGAGAGGAGTCCTGGAGGAAGTCATTATTTAGAATTAATAAATATTTATGTTCCTTACAACCAAATGCTGGAGTAAAATGCCAGCCAGTCTCTCCCCCCCCCCCAATACTCTGTTTAATTCTCCCCTCCCATCTGCTTTGAATCCCTTTTGGCAAAAGTTAGCTGATTTTCTGAGTCTGTTGAATGTGCTTTAATTCTCATTCTGTTCCAGTGGGGTTCTTCCTTGCACACTCTCTGTTTGAGTGTGCGTGCACGTAGAATATGTGTGTGTGTGTGTGTGTGTTTATATGTGCGCGCGCTCTATATTTTATATGTATGTGTGTTTGGGGTGTGTGTGTGTGTGTGTGTGTATGCAAACCTTCTGTCTGTCTGTACATCCATCCATCCATCCATGTAGAATATAAGCAGCTGGAGAAGAGCAATTTGGAGCAGGGAACTGGGAAATATTTCTGCAACATTTCTCCTAATAAGCACTATCACAAGAGCTAAAAATAAAATAGTTAAAATTATATGGCACCTATACATAGTTCCTGAATCTGTTTTCAGTTATATAATTCATCCCTGGGATATGCCACTGCCTTCTTCGTAACAGCCATTCATTCTATCACTATTGCAAAGAGGCAGAACAAATGATAAAGCTATGAGGATGAGTTTAATGCTGGTTGCCTGTAGTCATCTGGACAGGGACCAGATTAGCCCCAGTTTAATGTCTCTTTCCACCCCATGGTTGGCATGCCTTTTTATGGTGTATCACTGAGAAATCCGCCTTTACTGTGGTTGGGGAATGTGAACCCAATCATACTAGAGAAATGGTATATATTTTGATGCTTTGTCAATGAAAAGAAAAATCTCTTTAGATATCTGCGTAGAAAGACTGGAGGACGTAATCATCTTTGATACGGATCTATAGTGCATCCATTTCCATTTTATTTTGTGAAGCTTATTACATAATATGTTAAGAAGTGTGCTTCGTATGTTCAAAGTGAAATTAGTACCCGTGAAAACTTTGAAACAATTTCAGTTGAAGTTAAGATTTTTCTAAAAAAAAATGTATGCAATATCGACACATGTTGATCGGTTGTGTCCAGAAGTGCAAATGTGACTCTTCTCTGCAGTGTTTGGGTTTTCACATTATTGAACAATGCGTAGTCTTTTCATGACCAACAGAACTGAGATATTTACTTTAAGAGGATCACTGATCTTTCAATCTGTTTTAGAATAGTTCATGTTGGAGGTAGTAAAATCATAAGAGTGTCCAAATTTTTCTTTTGAACATGGATAGAAGCCATTATATATGCCTGTATGGATCAGACACCAACAGTAACAAGTTGGTAGCTGAATTTTAATTTCTGACTTCAGATAGAGGTATAGTAAGTTAGATCACCTTTATTCCCTTCTCTTCAAATATAATGGCATTTACACTGAAGTTTATTTTTAATATTGACTTTTAATGAAATATTTTTAGATGAGCTTCAAAAAAGCTTGGGCCGCAAGAAAATTTTCATGCAGTGAAATTTGGATAGTCCCATGTGGAGTGTGATTTGGCAAAAAGATACTAGAAATATTTTTAACGCTAGATATTAGAAGTATTTTGAAAAGTTGGGGGCAGAATAGATTCATGCAGGCTATTTTTGCTGGAGCTGAGAAATTGCTGTATAAAACAAGCTTATATACTATGGGCCAATTTATTGCCTGTAAGTGATAGGAATCTGTGTGATTTGTCAACTGTAACCAACCTCCCGATATTTTGAAAAGATTAGTATCTGCACTTGGTTGCATTGTTAGCTTATCAAAGGAAAGGGTTCCATTTTGCTTTTGACATTTTCATTCTATTCATGATGACAAGTTTATATTCAATAGGGTACATCAGGAAAGATAAGGAGAATTACCAATTGGATTGAAGAGAGATAATTTTCTTTATACGCCTGTTAGATAGTTCAGTATAAATGGAATTTCATTAATTTGTTCCCCTCTTTCTGCCTAGGCAAACCCATAGCTGATGCTGCAATATGAGAGGAAGAATCCCAGCTGACCTTTGTCATATTTTTTGAAAAATAATTATTCTATTCATGAAGACAAGTTTATATTCAATAGGGTACAACAGAAAAGATAAAGGAAAATTACCAATTGGATTGAAGAGAGATAATTTTCTTTATACGCCTGTTAGATAGTTTAGTATAAATGGAATTTCATTAATTTGTTCCCCTCTTTCTGCCTAAGCAAACCCACAATTGATGCTGCAGTAAGAGAGGAAGAATCCCAGCTGACCTTTGTCATATTTTTTTGAAAAATAATTAAATTGCTTAATAAAGCAGTGGCATAATTTTTGTGATTTTTGAACAGCACGTTTAAAGAGATTTGAAGAAATGTATTATATTATTTCAAGCTTGCTAGCACTTCCAGATTTAGCAATTATATATTCACACTTTTGGGGATCATTAAGCTAATTGTAACAAGATGATTTTAGACATAGATGTAGATTTTCAGATTCTGGGGAATATTTATTTTTTACTGGTAATTTGACAAAACAAGCACAAATTAAGTCAGGAGCATTCCATTAACAGTTGTGGTCT